CGATATATACATACACACAGCAACAACTCACTTTTCCAGGTTATAGTTTTTACAGAAATGTCAGTTATACAGAATAAAAGGGGCTATTTCAACTCATAGCTCCAAATCTGTTTCAATATCTCCTTTTGAGTTATTTGTGTAGCCTTAGTAATGATTACAACTCATATTTCTATTCCACTTTAAGGTTTATGAAGCACTTTTCTTACAATAGTTTTATGATGTAGATGGTACAAATATTATTGTCCTCATTTTGCAGATAGGAAAACTGATGCTCAGAGAGGTTAAGTGACTTACATATAGTCACAATCTAATTTTAAAAAATTTAAACACTTAGGTATATTGTCAATTTTCTTGTTTTCAATATCATAAATTATAGACATTCAATATAATCAAGAATTATAAAATGCAGGTCAACACAGGATACTTTCTGTGTTCCCTGTTGCCAAAGAGCTTGGATCCCTTTTAAAAGGCCAGAGTGCCACAACACACAGACACCACTTATAAGGAAAGCAATCGTGCTTAAAATTTCACAAGATCTAAGATATAGAAGACACTTAGGTCATCCACCCAAACTCTTTATCTAATGTTTTACTGTTAATTGCCCCCCCACATTGCTGTCATTTCCCATTACTCTTCCCACTCCCCACTCCAAAAATGGTTCTCTGGGGAAAAAGTTCAGGAAGAACACGCTGATCATGACTGGCAGCAGGTGCCTTGTTCAGAACCTAAGGTCTCCCACTTTATTACTGAGAAGGCATCATCAATCCACTGGCGTCCAGACTGCATTGACCTGATTCGGACTTCTTTCAGTCCAGGCCTGCTCAACCTACAGCCCGCCAAAGGATTCCGCGAAAAACGTAGAGGGTTCCCGAAATCCTTTGGTGGGCCACAGGTTGTGCAAGCCTGTTTTAGTACAATCCCTTCAGTTTATGGATAAAAATCTGAGGTCTAGACAGGAAGTGACTTACTCTGGATGACAGAATCACTTATTACTACATCCAGAACTAGAACCCACATTTCCTGACTCTTATTAGTTTTACAGTGCTGTTTCCAAGGATGGTGAGGAGACTAGAGACAATGCCATTCAGGTATCCGAGGAAGGTATTGGGGCTATTTAGCATGGAGAAGAGAAGGCTTAGAGGTTAATAAACAGCTGAATGGCTGTCATGGGGAAGAGGGATCAGACTTGTTCTGGTTGATCCCAGAATATAAAACTCGGAGTAATGGGTGGCAGTTGATTTAGGATTAATTAATGAAAAACTTCCCAATAGAGCTATCCAAAAGTGAAAAAGGCTGTTGTAAGAAGCCCTATCATTCTAGGTGTTTGCATTAAGGTTAGATAACTATTTTTGGAAATGTTTTAGAGAGGATTCTATTCAGGGACAAATTGGGCTAGATGACGTCTAAAATCCCTTCCAACTCCAAGATTCTATGATTTTATGAGATAAATCTGCTAATTTGCAAAGTTTTTCTGTAACTGTTTAAACACATTACCCTCTTCTCTACTGTACTCATATATATGCAAAAGATACTTAGAATCAAAATAATTTTTATGAAATTATGTGCTTCTTACCCCAAAAGCTAATCATTTCATTTTGAATTAATGACAATTCCTTGTGATCTTCTGACAATATTGTTTGCATGCTAATTTCAGCACACATCAGCTAGTATTTATACATTCTGACATCAAAGTCAAAGTATTATACATTCTGATAATAATTTACCTGCTCATTAGGCTTATGAATTGAACACTTACATACTATACATCGGGACAGTAACAGCTCATTACTCTAATTTCCAAAAAAGACCTCATTAAAGATTTACGCTAAACTTTAAGTACTTGTGGACAGTCAAACAACAGCCCACCCTATCTGAAATGGGTTACCTTTGAAATCAATGCAATAAACACCTGACATCCACATCTTTAGAATTAAATTTAAACATTTCCTGAACACTTGTTATATGTAGGATCTGGGGGGAAGAGGACAGATAAAGCATAATCTCTACCTTTAAGTATCTTATAATACAGTAAAGGACAATTAAGACATATACGCTTACTTTAATTCATTGAGGATCCATAATTGCATTGGTTAGGGTACTCTTCTCTATGTTGATAAATTGCTGTAGCCAAAAAATCCATCCCCTAGAAATAAGACACTTCAGACTTAGCAAAGTGATCCACAGACAACAGACACAAAAGTCCATTGCTGGGCTTTTACCTGAAGATTTTTCCAGCTTACCAGAGATTCTGCACTTTTGGCAATGCCTTGGGGACCTCAGGGTCATTTTCATGTCATAATGAAATGTCATAATAGGACTTTAGAGAATTGAAGATAGTACTTAAATTGAGTATAAAAATACATTAGAAGTTATGTTTTTAAAAATTTATAGTAGCTCTTTTGGAAGTGGCAAGGAACTAGAAAATAAGGGAATATCCATCAACAGGGAAATGGCTGAACAAATTATGATATGTGAATGTAACACAATATTATTGTACCAAAAGAAATTATGAAATGAACAATTTCAGAGGAACCTAGGATGCCTTATATGAACTGACACATAGTGAAGAGAACAATCTATATGATAACCATAATGCTGGAATGAAAAACAACTTTAAAAGAGTTAAGAACTTTGATCAATATAATGATCAACCACGATTCCAAAGTACTGGGGCTAAAGTATGCCGGTGGTTGTCCTCTATTCTTGAAGAGGACCAAAAATGACATCACCATGTTGGGGTCAAGGTACCAATATGAGCCCAGAAGGCTCTACCACAGGTTGGGCACAAATAGTCCATATGTACATTTAGAGTGGAGATGTCTCTAAATTTGTATATCTCATCACAAAGTATGCTACACATTTCCTGAGAGGTGATGGACTCAATATGCAGAATAAGACATACATTTTTGGACGTGACTAGTATGAGAATTTGTTTCACTTGAGTATGTATATACGTTAGAAGGATTTTTTTCTTGAAATATAAAGGCACATATATAATGCGAGATAAAGCTAAAAAGGCACGATGGGCTTTAAAGGATGGAGGGCCTCGAATGGCAAGCTAAGGAGGCTGAACTAGACGATGGGAAAACAGTGAAGGTTTGGAAAGCACAAAAGTGATGTGGTCACATTTTCCACTAGTAAGATTAATCTGGGTGCATGAGCAGGACAAATTGAAAGAGGGAGGGTTTAGATAAGAAATAAAGTTTGGAGGATATTACATGAAGCCAGGTGAGAGGTTATGAGGGCCTGAATTAGAGGTTATTGGAGTGAAAAATAGGTAAACAGATAAAAGAGAAATTACAGAGGTTGAAATGACAGGACATGGCAAAATGTGGACTCATATGAGAGATGAATAAGAGGAAAGAATTAGAGACCAATCTAGGTTACAAGAAGGGGTGACTAGAAAAATGATGGTGTGAAAAGAAACAGGGAGGTTTGCAAGTAAAAGTGTTTTGTTTTGTTTTGTTTTTTTAGGCAATTGGGGTTAAGTGACTTGACCAGGGTCACAGAGCTAGTATGTGTCAAGTGTTTGGTCTGAGGCCGGATCTGAACTCAGGTCCTCCTGACTTCAGCGTCGGTGTTCTATCCACCTAGCTGTCCCCGTAAAAGTGGTTGTGAGGGAAAGGTGAATTTATTTGAGATATGATAAATTTGAGGTGCTAATGGGACTATAGTTGCCAATATCTTTTGGGCAGCTGGATATGTAAGACCTGAACTTGAGGGAGAGGTCAGCACTGAAGATAGAGGCTTAGGAGCCATTGGCAGAGTAGTGATAGTTGAAGCCATAATGGTCGCCCAGGTAAGGAGTTTGGAAGGAAGAGAGCTAAAGACAGAAATCTGGGAAACACTGACACGTAAAGGCAGAGGAAAAAGGAGAGAGAATAGTCTGAAAGGTAAAAGTAGAATAGACTAGAAGACACTAGACTAAGAGAGTCTAGTGTCAAGAAAACCTAGGAAATAGAGCATATCAGAGAGGAAGAGGTGGCAGCATTCAGTGTTGCATGAAGGATGAACTGAACAGAATTGTCATGGGACACAGCATTTAGTACAGTAGCAATAGGAAAAGTGAGAATAAAAATGGGAAAGATCAAAAAGACACCCATAAAGGCAGTGAGGGCAGCTAGGTGGCAGAGCAGACAGAGCGCCAGGCTTGGAATCAGGAAGATTCATCTTCAAATCTGGCCCCAGACACTTCCTAGCTGAGTGACCCTGGGCAAGTCACTTAACCCTGTTTGCCTCAGTTTCCTCATCTGTAAAATGAACTGGAGAAGGAAATGGCAAACCACTCCAGTACATTTGCCAAGAAAACCCCAGATGGGGTCATGAGGAGTCAAACATCTCAACAACAACAACAACAAAAGGCAATGAAAGTAAAACTTTTGTAAAGAACTTGGATCTAGAATCATGGCCTCAATTTGAAACCCAGTTCTGCCAATAACCAGCAGTGCCCTTGGCCGAGTGACATCCTTTGGGTAAACTCTGGTTTGCTCATTTTAAAGATAAGAGTATACATTTACACAGCCTACTCCACAGGATTACTGTTATAAAAGTACTTCATAAACCTTAAAGTGCTATAGAAATGTGTTACATTGCTATTACATACTATTAATATTATGAGTTTGAGACTTTGACACTTCATGGAATCTGTAATGTTCTTCCCACTGGTACAAGGCTGCTGTCCATCCATTCCTCCTCTGTCTTTGTAATACTGGATCACATTCTTCCACAGATCCTCTACACAGAATCCACTGTTGGTGGCCCTTTTAGGTATAATGACAATAATGCACCAGCCACCTGCAGTTTTTCACGTAAATAGGTTGTGGCCAAGTTCATATGCCTGCTTTCCCCAGCTCTTGGGGAAATCCTAATGGAGGCCTCTACTACTTTATTGGGGGCTCATTTCAAGGGACTTATTCTTTATTTACATGCTAACTTTGGAAGCCTCCAACTCTACAGAGGAAGTAAGGAAACACACGGTTAGATAGTTGTCCTCTGCTTACCTGACTCTAGTCCTCCATACTCGTAAGGGTACTGCACACAGAGGGAGAGCTGCAGGCCAATCTGAGTCTTCCCAGCCGAACTCTGCCCAGCAAGTTCTGTGATTCCCACCAGGGGGAGACCGCCTCTTAAAAGTCTGTTAAGTATTGAGCAACCAAAGCTGAGTTTCTTATGCTGGGCTGGGAATTCCTCTTTCTGTTGATATATGTGAAGTGCTTAAGGATTTAAAAAAGAAACAAAATGAAACACCATCAAACAGTTTTTCATTAAGAATCAACAAATCAATGTCCAAGTTTTACAAAGCATCATAGATGCTTGTCATACCAAAGGTTTATTTGGTTTATCTAGTTACCAATATAACTCCTAGGAGAAAAGCAAGCTAGTAAAGATTATTGATTGGCTAACTTTTTTTATACTTAAGTTTGTTATGGTTCAGTCGTGTCCGACTCTTTGTGACCCCATTTGGGGTTTGCTTGGCAAAGATACTGGAGTGGTTTGTCATTTCCTTCTCCAGTTCATTTTATAGATGAGGAAACTGAGGCAAACAGGGTGAAGTGACTTGCCCAGGGTCACACAGCTAGTATATGTCTGAGGCCGTATTTGAACTCAGGAAGATGAGTCTTCCTAACTCTTGGTCTGGTACTCTATTCACTGCACCACCTAGCTGCCCTTTATACTTAGTTCCATGACTTTGAAATAATGTTTTATTTGGCAGGGGTGACCTATTTTTTGAACTATTTTTGACCTATTAGTAGGGCTCAATGTCAATATTAGCATCTTATGCATAAAGCACACCCTATGGTAATATTTTCCATATTTGCACAATATTAAATATGAGAAAAACTGTCCCATGAGAGACCATTATAAAATTTCCATTCAATTCAGCAAACCTTTTAAAGCAGCATAGCACAGTATAATGGAAAGAACACAAGAGAAAAATCAAATGACATAGAGTCTTAGTTCTTCCACTTATTAGGTATATGATCTTGAGCAAGCCACTATATTAAGTCTCAAACTCCTCACCTGTAAAATGGATATAACAATACTCTCTGTCTCACAAAATTGTGGGGATTAAATGAGATAATGTGTATAAAGTACTTTGCAAATTACAAGGTGCTATTTAAAAGCCAATCACTATTATTTTAAATGCTTATTATGTGCTGGGATATGATGCAGGCTTATGGCCCATGTACAAGTAACTATAATACAAACTAATATATAAACAAATCAGAGAGGTGCAAACAAAATGCTAAATAAAGTCAGAGGAAGGATACAATATGTTTTGTTTAGCACAAAGGAAAGCTGCTTCTGTACATAGCTTGGTACTAATTCAGTTAGAACACCATCAGGAGCTGAGACCCTCCTTGGAATTTACATAACTAACCTTGAAACAGAATAGACCTAAAACTTCTGTCTGTTATAATGAAAAGGCCAAGGTAGGAAAGGCATTAATTCAATACATATCCTACCTAACTGTATCATGTGGTTAATTCTATTTTTAATCTATTTTAATCATCTGCATATAGAGGTGGGTGGGTGTTTGGCAAGAGTTTTGTGAAAACAAAGTCTTCACTGGCACAACTGTGGGGCCTTCTGGATTTACACTAGAAGAGGCTCACTTCCCCTTTCTCAATCTCAGATCCCTCATCCAAGAAATGGGGGTAAACATTCCCTTTATGCCTTACCTGGTTCAAATAGGAGATTCACATAAGAATAATAAATAATAAACAATATGAGAGGCTCAAATAAAAATAATAACAATAACAATTCATAATACTTAAGTGTTTTAGGGTTTACAAAACAAGGAAGGTAATAGGAATGTTATTATTCCTATTTTACAGATGAAAAAACTGAGGCAAAGAAAGGTAAGTGATTTGATTAGTGTAAAAATCAGAACTTGAACTCAGGTCTTCTGACTTTAAGACTGCTGCTCCCTTCACTACCCCAGGCTGCTTCTCAGCAAATAGATGTGAAAGCACTCTGAAAATTATAAATGGTTATGAAAATATAAAAGATAGTAACATTATTAATATCACAATCTCTGAATGCTCTGGGGAACCATGTGGTCGAGGAGAAGGGAAAAGAATAAGCCTTTGGATAATGCCTATGATGTATCAAGCACCATACTAAGTGGTTTGGAGCCTGAAAGACCAGGCCACTTGGACCAACCTTAGTCTTATATTTATTCCATGCAAGACCAGAATGATACCTGCACAGATCACAACACTGTCCACTTTACAAAAAGCCCCTGGGTTTCTCTTTGTACATTTGGCTTCTTTCCTCATGCCACTGTTCTTCAACCTTTCTTTTCCGCACAGAAGAGGTGTCTCTTTTCTATTCTATTCCTTATTTTCTTTTCTCTGCCACTGATCCACACCATTCTCACACATTTCTCACACTCACACTTCTCCTGCTGGTAGTCTGCTGTTCCAGAAGGTGCTACAGTTGTCTCTGTCAGACTCTGAATACCCATGCCTTCCCTGCCATCTCATTAGGAATGTTATAGGACCTCACTGAGAAATGTAACAGCAGGTATGAGGTAGGGAGCAGGGGAACCTCACTCACAATCACACTGTACACAAATCCGATGACAGGGAGAATCCAGGTTGATGATGCATGGCCTATGGTAATGCTGTCTTTGCAGATGAAGAACAGTGCCTCCTATTAATAAGTGAATCATTTTAAGAGACATGCCCCAAGATCCTATACACATTTCAGAATTTAATGTCTCCATTTCTTTCCTCATGATGTGCTGAGAAGGTTCTTTCCTATCAGGGCTGCCTCTCTGACTCCTATCAATCCTTCAAAGTCCAGCTCATATACCTTTTTCTTGATTAGCCTACTTGACTCCCCAAGTCAGAAGTGATCTTTCTTTCCTCTGAACTAACACAAATGTGAAAACATGGCAAGAGAGGTACAGAGCTATTTTGGACCATAGTTATTTGTGTATAGCTTCTTTCTCAAATAGATTGTAAGTTCCTTGAGAGTAGAAAATGTGTCTCATTCATCTTTGTATCTCCAACAATGCCAGACACAGGGTCCTGCACGTGGCAGCACCCAAAAGTATTTGCTGAATTGATTTTTCAGTGTTTTCTTGTTGCAGTTGAGAAAGGATCTTCCTATCTTGCCCAGGCTGCAAGTGTAGCGGTCATGGGCACAGTCCCACTGCCCCATTTCTGACCTGGCTGGTTCACCCCTCCTTAGGGACGCCTCCTTAGGCTACACTTACTCCACTGTGTCAGGCAATACTTGCTAAATTAAACCTTAAGATTTTGAATGTAGGGAAGAAATGACTATAAAGCTAGTCTGATTAATTTAACAAAATATGGAAGTGGCATATAGGCAAGAGTCTGAATTGCATTTATGAATCAGCTCTCTGAACCTTAGTTTGTTCTGATAAATAAACATAACAATGTTATTCTGTGGAAACAGCTATTTAAAAAAATGACAACTAACTTTTTGGTTTCAGTAAAAGTGAAAATATTAGGAAATAATATTTTTCTCTAAAGCTGTTTCCCAAATGCTTGGAAATGTCCCTTGGAGGGGAAAAAAAATCAACTTTTCTTAGGGAAACAGATTAAGAGTGGTACCAAACCCTTTATGAAGAATAACTCTGATCTTGCTTATATCATTTCATTTTCCCATTCCAGAAGTGATTTGGTTACTGACTCAACTAAGGGCAATCTCCTCTTTACTTGCTCGGGTTAAGTGATTGGTTTGTTAGCACCCATTCTTCCCCACCGAGGAAGGATTAAGATGTCAATGGAAGGGAGGAGATACCTTAGTTTAAGTCTTGGAGTGAAGGAAATGGTGCAGGAGGAATGATAGAGACTTGGTTACTTAATGTTCTGGAGAATTAACCCAGATTGTATTTTAAGATATCTTTTCCTAGTTCAAGATTCTTATAAATGTTACTTGATATTGTCTTGGAGCAGAGAGTCATATCAGAGGACGGGGGACTATGCCATCTAGGACATATCTCTCTACAAGCTGGAAATCACATGAATATAGATAATGACAAACTAAATAAAATTGTTTCTGGCAGATAGGAGTCTGATGTAATAGTAGTAGTCGTCATTATCATAGTTACAGTTCTAATAACAATGACAGAAAGGATTCTAGGGAGGGACTCTTATTTTTTTTAAAAGCAATTGGAGTTAAGTGACTTGCCCAGGGTCACACAGCTAGTAAGTGTCAAGTGTTTCGTCTGAGGCCGCATTTGAACTCAGGTCCTCCTGACTTCAGGGTTGGTGTTCTATCCACTGTGCCACCTAGCTGCCCCAGGCAGGGACTCATAGAAGGGTGTGCAGATCAAGAAATAGGAGGGCAAGGGGATAGGACAAGAGAGGGATTCTTAGAAGGGGTTTAAATTAGGGAGACAGTGACTAGAAGTAAATTAAATGTCTGAGAAGGGGTGGGTAAAAAGAAGAGAGAAGGATAAACAGTGAGGAAAAGTAGGATGGAAGGAAATATATAACTAGTAATTATAACTTTAAATGTGAATGGGATGAACTCACCTGTAAAATCGAAATGGATAGCAGAATGGATTAAAAACCAGAACCTGACAATATGTTGTTTACAAGAAAGACATTTTAAAGTGAGAGACACACATACAGTAAAAATAAACGGCAGGAGTAGAATTTATTATGCTTCAGCTGATGCAAAAATAGAAGGGGTAACAATCATGATCTCATACAAAGTTAAAGCTGAAACATTTAATTAAAAGAGATAAACAGGGAAACTACATTACGATAAAGGTACCATAGATAATGAAGTAATATCAATACTAAACTTATATGCACCAAATGCTACATAGTATTCAAATTTTTAAAGGAAAAGTTAAATGAATTACAGGTGGAAATAGATAGCAAAACTATAATAGCAGGGGACTTCAACCTTCCCCTCTCAGATCTAGACAAATCTAACCAAAAAATAAATAAGAAAGAAGTCAAAGAGATGAATAGAATCTTAGACCAGCTAGCTATGATAGATATCTGGAAAGAACTGAATGGGAATAGAAAAGAATATACCTTTTTCTCAGGGATACATAATACCTTTAGAAAAAATGACTACATATTAGAGCACAAAAACTCTATAGTTGAATGCAAAAAAGCAGAAATATTAAATGCATCCTTTTCAGGTCATAATGCAATTAAAATCATATTTAATAAGAGACTATGAAAACACTGATTAAAAATTAACTAGAGACTAAATAACCTAATTGTAAAGAATGAATGGGTTACAGAACAAGTCATAGATGCAGTAAATAATTTTATTAAAGAAAATAATCATAATGGGACAATATACCAAAATCTATGGGATGCAGCCAAAGCAGTACTAAGGGGAAAATTTATATCTCTAAATGCTTACATCAATAAAATAGAGAAAGAGTAACCAATGAATTGGATATGCAATTAAAAAAACTAGAAAAAGAACAAATAAAAAATGCCCAATTAAATGTCAAATTGGAAAACCTAAAAATTAAAGATGAGATTAATAAAATTTAATATAAAAAAGCCACTGAATTAATAAATAAAACTAATGGTTTGCTTTATGAAAAATAAAAAATAAAATAGATACACCATTGGTTAATATAACTAAAAAAGAGAGAAGAAAATCAAATCACTTACCAAAAATGAAAAAGGTGAATATACCACTAATGAAGATTAAATTAAAGCAATTATTAGGAGTTATTTTGCCCAATTATATGCCAAAAAATTTAACAATCTAAGTGAAATGGATGAACATTCACAAAAATATAAACTGCCCAGATCAACAGAAAAAGAAATATAATATCTAAATAAATCTATTTTAGAATGAAATCGAACAGATCATAAATGAGCTTCCTAAGAAAAAAGCATCAGAACCAGATGAATTCACAAATTCTGCCAAACATTTAAAGATCAAATAATTCCAATATTAAATAAATCACTTAGAATAATAGGCAAAGAAGGAGTCCTACTAAATTCCTTTTATGAAATAAATATGGTATTGATACCTAAACCTGGAAGAGCAAAAACAGAGAAAGAAAATCACAGACCAATTTCACTGATGAATATCATTGCAAAAACCCTAAATAAAATACTACTAGGAGACTACAACAACATATTACCATATATCACAAAGATTGTACCAGGAATACAGGGATGAAAAGAAAAACTATTAACATAATTGATTATATCAATAATATAAGTAACAACAATCATGTAATTATATCAACAAATGCAGAAAAAGTTTTTGACAAAATTAAATACTCATTCCTATTAAAAACACTTGAAAGAATAGGTATAAATGGATTTTTCCTTAAAACGATCACCAAGTAATATCTGTAATAGGGATAAGCTAGAAGCCTTCCCAATAAGATCAGGAGTGAAACAAAAACGCCCATTATCACCAACATTATTCAATCTTATATTAGGAATGCTAGCAATAGCAATAAGAGAAGAAAGGGAAATTGAAGCAATCAGAACGGGCAACGAGGTAATGAAACTATCTTTTCACAGACGATATGGATGATATATTTCGAAAATCCTAGAGATTCAATTAAAAAGCCAATTGAAACAACAATTTTTACCAAAGTAGCCATATATAAAATAAATTCACATAAATCATCAGCATTTCTATATATTACCAACAAAACCCTGAAAGAAGAGATAGTAAGAAATACCCTATTTAAAATAACTGTAGACAGCATAAAATACTTGGGAGTATACCTGCCAAGACAAACCCAGGAACTACATGAACATAATTGCAAAACACTTTTTATACAAATAAAGTCAGATTTAAATAATTGGAGAAATATTAATTTTTGATTGGTGAGCAGAGTCAATATAATAAAAATGACAATTCTACCTAATCTATTTATTCAATGCCATTCTAATTAAGTTACCAAAAAACTATTTTATCAAGCTAGAAAAAAAATAACAACTCATTTGGAAGAACAAAGGTCAAGAACATCAAAGGAATAGGGGCAGCTAGGTGGCGTAGTGGATAGAGCACTGGCCCTGAAGTCAGGAGGACCTGAGTTCAAATTTAGTCTCAGACCAAACACTCGACATTTACTAGCTGTGTGAACCTGGGCAAGTCACTTAACCCCAACTGCCTTAAAAAAAAAAAAAGAACATCAAAGGAATTAATGAAAAAAAAATGTGAAGGAAGTTTAGCAGTACCCAGATCTTAAACAATATAATTATCAAAACTATTTTGTACTGGCTAAGAAAAAGAAAAGTGGATCAGTGGAACAGAGTAGACATACAATATACAGTAGTAAATGGTTATAGTAACCTTGTATTTGACAAGTGTAAAGAGTTAAGCTTTTGGGATGGGATCACTATTTGGTAAAAAAAAAAAAAAAAAAAGAATGTTGAGAAAACTGGAAAGCAGTCTGGTAGAAATTGGGTATAGACCAATATCTTACACCATTTACCAAGAAAAAGTCTAAATGGATACATGATCTAGATATAAATGGAGACATTACAAGTAAATTAGAAGAACATGGAACATATTACCTATTAGACTTATGAAGAGAAGAAATTATGAATAAACAAGAGATAGAGAGCTTTGTGAGATGTAAAATGGATAATTTTAATTACATTAAATTTAAAAGTTTTTACACAAATAAAACCAATGTAGCCAAGATTAGAAGGAAAGCAGAATATGGAGGGAAAATTTTTATAGACAGTTTCTCAGATAAAGGTCTCATATCTCAAATACATAGAGAACTTAACTTTGAGATGTCATCTCACACCTACCAGTTTGGTTAAAATGACAGAAAGGGAAAATGACAAATGTTGGAGGGGATATGGAAAAACTGGGACACCAATACACTGTTGGTAAAGCCATGAACTGACCTAACCATTCTGGAGAGCAATCTGTAATTATACCCAAAGTGTTATAAATCTGTGTATACTCTTTCACCCAACAATACCACTATTAGGTCTGTTTCTCAAGGTGATCAGAAAATAAGGAAAAGAAGCTGTATGTTCTAAAATATTTATAGCAGCTTTTTTTGTAGTGGGAAAGAACTGGAAATTGAGAGGATGCCCATCAATTGGGGAATGGCTAAACAAGCTGTGGTATATGACTGTGATAAAATACTACTGTGCTATAAGAAATGATGAGCTAGTTGATTTTATAAAAACATTATTGTGAAATAATGAAGACTGAAATGAGCAGAAGCAAGAGAATGTTATATACAGTAACAGCAATACTGTTCAAAGAATAACTGTGAACCACTAAGTTATTCTGAATATTATAAATACTCAAATCAACTACAAAGGACCTATGAAGAAAGATGCTATCCATCTCCAGAGAAAGAACTGATAGCACAAGGATAGCACAAGGATAGCACAAGTGAGTGTGTGTGTGTGTGTGTGTATGCATCTGAGTTGAAGAGTGGCCTTCTCTAGTGCCCTCCCTTTAGGGAGGGAGGATGGGAGACAGTTTGGAACTTAAAATGTAACCAAAAAGAATTAAACTAAAATTAAAAAAAAAAAAGTAAATGACATTGACAATAGCATCATGTATAGTGCTTTAAGGTTTGCAAATGCTTTAAAATTATTATCTGATTTTATCCTCACAACAACCCTGGAAAGTAGTTGCTATCATCCCCATTTTATAGACAAAGAAATTGAGGCAGCCAGAAAATAAGTTATTCGCCCAAGGTCATAGAACTATGAGTGTCCTGAGCTTGATTTGAACTCAGTTCTTACTGACTCCAGGTCCAGTCTTCTACCTACTATACTACCTACCAGCCTCAGCATTAACATCAACACTCTTTTCCTCTGATACATGACAATTATACAGATTTTGAAACACGAAGGAAGACTCTACCTTATTTATGACAGAATGACCTTGATCAAAAACTTCTGTGTCAGTGGCCATCCCAGGATTCAAACTGGTATTAATCAACTTTTACGCAATTTATCTCCTCAAAAAAAAAAAAAAAAAAAGGTGCCAAGCAAAGTTTTGTCATTCTGTTGTTACCTGTCAGAACACAGTTGTTCCTTAGGGCTAAAGAGACTGTTTTCAATAAATGCTGGACATCAATGCTGGACAGTTTTGTTAGTCTCTGCAAATCTGGTCCAGAAAGGTGCAAAACTTCCTTTATTGATTTTAGTTTGGCTGAAACAAGAAGCACAAATACAGCAAGGAGAATCAAAACAATTGTCAGAACAAAAATTATTTTTGCAGATTTTAATTAGTAATTTAAAAAGGCAATTGGAATACAAACTTGTTCTTACACCAATTGTTAAAAATGTCTTTTTACACTTATAATGCACCTAAAATTACCTTTCTTCACAGCAGCAATAACTCTAGGATTCAATTCTAGTTGGTCCCAATCCATTTCTTAAATGTCTATACTACAGATTTGAGTAGTCTCCTATGAATAAAAGAAACATTGAAACATAAGGCAAAAAAAACTGATTCAAGGAACTTTTTTCTTTTGAACTATTTTTCATTTAACAAAAACCACATAAAATGAGCATTTCCATATACACTGTAAAATAAAAAGACTGTAGGTAATTTACACATCTATTATGTAGAACTTCCATTCCTTTTTAAGTATGTAATAAGTTTTGAACATAACCTTCAAAACTGTCCTGGATGTGACTCCTCCTGACATTCTTTCTGTCCCCTTTCTCACTAACTTTTTTTTTGGCTGTTGTTTGGGAACCCTCTCTCTCTCTCAGCCTGGAGTCAGGAAAGCCACAAAGATAAGTATAGATAATTATTATAAAGATTTTATAGCGATGAAAAGTAGACATATGACTTGGTATTATTCTTGTTCTCCCAATCATCTTTTTTTGACAGCAATATGGCCACAATTTTCTCCCATCACTTAATCTTCTCCTGTCTGAGGTATGTTGAGAACTAACACAAATACATAAATCTTACTGTGTAAAAATGTAGAGCTTTTGTATAATAAAAAGCAATCCATCAAGAATAAAAAAGGAAACAAAACACAGATTAGGTAAGAAGTCTTTTTGATAAGCACTTCTAATAGATGTTTTATATCCATGATCTATGAGGCACTGATACAGATTTATAAAATTTATCCCCTAAATATAAATATAAAAAGCATGTCAAAAAGAACTTTCAAAAGATAAAATATTAATTATAATTAACCTCCTAAGAAACTGCTAAAACTACTTACAAATTAGAGAACTGAGAGTTAAAACAACCAACCTACCTTCTATCCATTAAATTTGCAATGATAGTTAAAAATAATAAAATTCAATGCTATTGGGCTAAGAAAAAAATAGGTATACAAGTTGGACGAAGCTATGAATTGGTAACCATCCCTTTATAAAGTAATATGGCATTAGATGATAAGTTACAGTTATTCATACCTGTTGAACTAATGACACAATTATTGAGATCATACCATAAGGATTTCCTTGATAAATTTTTTAAGAGATTCATTTGTATAAAAATACTGTTGGAAGCATTATCTATACAGGAATAGCAAAAAACTAGAAATAACTTAAATGTCGAATGATCAGGGAATGGTTGAATAAATTCTGGTATATTAACATAATAGAATGTTATTATAATAAGAAATGATAAATATTAAGACTATAAAGAAATACAGACATCTTTGGACATGACCAACATGTTCATTTATTTTGCTTGATTATTGTTATTTGTTGTAAGAGAGGATTTCTGTTTGGGGACAGGGGGAAAGTGGGAGGTGACAGAGGGAAAAGAAAAAAAAGGACATAAGAAAATAAGTTAAGAAGAATTAACAAAGCAATTTTGTAATTTCTGTGATGAATTTAATAAATACTCAACAAATCATATGTAACAAATTCATGGATTCACATACAATTCTCTTTTGTTTCTCTCTGTACATGGGAATGTGTGTGTTTGTTGACGACAGTTTAAGATAAAAAAAATGGAAAAATGTATGAAATGATACAGAATGGAAAAAGTAGAATCAAAATACTTTAGAGTGATTATAACTACATGTGTAATCATTGTAATGCTTTTGGTGGATCTGTGGGCAATCCTTCTAATGATGTAAAGCACAACTCATCCATGATTTCTTATCCTATGTTACACTTAATCATATCTTTCTATAAGTCCTCTATGGGGAATCTATCCAATGTGCTGGGGTGCTAAGTGTCTTGACATTACAGGGACAATAAATCGTATGTGGATGGTCCCCAAGTGTTTTCCTTCATTTGTTAAATTACCACTCTGCCAGCCTCCTATTTTAGTGATATATCCCTTTAATGAGATATTTTATGGACTATGAGCACAATTCATTGTTGGTGATATGCTACCATCTACTTTTGCTTACTATGCACCTCTTCAATGACCTTTGGGTGATCTGCAATTTTGATTCAGCAAGCATTTATCAAGCATCTACTATGTGCCAGAAACTATGCTAAACACTAAGGGATACAAAGACAAAAAATGAAAATGTTCTCTGATCTCAAGGAGCTTACATTCTATCTGCAGAAACTACATATACAGATAAGTAAATAAATGATGATTCTTTCAGTGATTTTTCTGATTCACAGCCATGTAGCAATAACAGGAGTATATTTATATTAAAAAGATAGATTTTATTTTCAAGAATAAAAATTTGGGATCACTGACAGCACTAATTTCGCAGATACAATCCAATCTGCTCTCTTATGCCTATAAAATGATGGCTTAGTTCACTATTCATCTGCAATGTCTATTCAAAATATTCAGCATGGACTGATGGACTTGCTACATGGCTGTTTATCCAAATGCCCATCAATACCTGGACAAAAAGTATTATTTATTGTTTTGGTGTTTTGGGTGGTGTGTGTGTGTGTGTGTGTGTGTGTGTGTGTGTGTGTGTGTGTCTGTACGAACAAATGCTTTTGAAGGATTTTGGGATCCCATTTAGGAGGTTTTGCAATATTGCATATTGTCAACAGAAAAATCCGAAGGACCTCAACATCTATCGGGAATACCTCTTTAATCTGGATTATGTTCTAGATATCCTCCATGATAGTGACAAACAACGTCAATCATGATGTCCAGTTTTACTCTTGATTTGCTATTAATAAGCAAAAGGCTGACAAGCAAAATTTTTGCTATAGCATCTATCAAGGAATCTTATATAATCTTAATATGGGTATGGGAGAAACTATGGAGAAAAAGCACCCTTAGTCAGGCATAGTGGCTCATATCTGTAGTCCTTGTTGCTGGGGGAGGCTGAGATGAGAGGATTTCTTTAATTTGGGAGTTCTGAGTTGCAGTAGGGCTAAAGTTTTTTAGTTGACCACACTAAATCTGGCACTAACATGGTGAGACCCCAGGTGTAGAGGGGCACCAGGCTGACTTAGGAAGGGCAAACCAGCCAAGATCAGAAGAACAGAGTAGGTAAAAACTTCCATGCCAATCAATATTGGGATCAGATCATGAATGGTCACTATACTTCCAGAATGGATGAAAGAAGGGGGCAAAAGAGAAAGAAAAGAAAAAAAAAGCATCCTTGAGGATACATTTTTTCCATGGAATTAAATGTTTTTTTAATAGTCAACCAACAACAAACAGTGGAATCTTGTATTTTCTGGACCTTTTAATCAATTGTGGCTATAAAGATGTGGTTTCTTATAGAATATCATTTATTAAAAGCCTGCTTGTTTTCTTTTCTTATTTTTAGCAAGGATACCCTTAGATATGTTAATAAAATTTTTATCACAAAGATTTAGTTAAGATGAGAAGTTGGAATATGGGTCTGTAGTTACTGATGTCCTCTCAGTCACCTTTTTCTAGTAATAATATCTCTGATTTTTTTTAGCACCTTCCCCTTCTTTGAAAAATCTTAAAATCTCTCAATAAGCTTGAAACTTTTTTGCCTCCAGCATGGACATCTACTCTTGGTTGCATTCAGCTCCTTTCTTTTATTTTCTTCAGTGTTACTTCTATTATCTCAGGGACTTTCATGTTAGGAGTCTAAATAATAATAACACTAGACAAAATCTAGAAATTACACAGTAAATAAGTGGGGGGAGGGCAGAAGAACAAACAGGATGAGTTCAATATTACTTTGTTAAAGCTAATCATTATAACTTTGTTAAATATATAAATTATGGAAGTTAATTTCACATACAATATTTTATAGCTTTTGTGTATCTAAAATTTGGGTATATTAAGTTGACAAGTTTATAATAAAAATTATTATTGCAAAAAAAAAACCTTTTTATGGTTAAACTTAACATCAAATAAAAATTGCATACAGGATGTGTTTACTGTTGAGCTGAAGAAATATATCCCACCAAAGGTCCTATGCTTAATAAGGTTGTCAGATTTAAGAAAGAAGTTAAAATTTCAATACAGTGTCATTTTCAATTATCTAAAAACATCATTTGGGATGGTAATCTGCTCATAGGACCTTAGACAAATAAATTCATACTTATGCTAATAAGCAGGGGGGAAATAAAACTTCTAAAATTATGAAAGTAAAACAGTTCTGTTTTGCAACAAATATAAAAATAATTCTAATATTTATTAACTGCAAGTCTGTCATACAAGGTCATATAAGATAGCTAAAAAAAAAGATGACAACCAAGTGAAATGCAACAGAGGAAAGTGTATACCTTTAACAGTGGATAATTTACACAAAATATTATCAAATATAGAAAATGCAAATAATCCCCTTACTTTGGAGTATAACTGCATATGGAATGACACCAAATATAAAGTTAATTACTATATCCAGAAAACAAATGAAAAATATGTTATCTATCATTGACATACTCAGTTTCCAATTGCATGAAAGGTCACTTGACTGATGCATTCTTTGTATTCACCAGAGTAATTTTTCTTAAATCTGTCTCCATGAAATCTCTGTAAAGACAGTAAAGTCAAGTTTATTTCTGGTGCTCAGGGAAGTTAAAATTCTATAGTAAAATCATCAAAAGCAATTATAATAGACTAGGCCAAGAAAGTTTAATCACAGAATCATAAAATCTCAGAGATGAAACAAATCTCAAAGGTTGAATCTGTATCTGAGCAGGAATTGCCTCTAAAATATTCCTGGAAAATGCCCTTCCAAATTCAACTGGAAGACTTCTGGGGATGAGGAACTCTTCTTAAGCAGTAGGCTCCACTCAGTTGTTCGTAGCTCTGCAGAGCTAAGCAGATAGAATAAGACGACTCTTTCTTCTCTATTACAGTTCTTCAAAGGTCAGAAAAGGTTTCGTGGATGGTGGGACTTGAGTTGGGCCTTGAAGGATAAGTAGGTTTTAGATACATAGAGGGGAGAAGGAAGGGCATTTCAGGTAAGAACTGCATGGAAGTTGCCTTAGAATAGGACAAGGTACATATGATGTTCAGGAAACCTTCCTGACTGGCATGAAGAGTTTCTATTAGGAAGCCATCAGTCGGACTTTATCTTGAAGGCAATGGAAAGCCATTAGAAGTTATTATCTTGTTAGTTTGACAAAGGGCAAAGGACATGTATCATACTAATTGGCTGCTTCATTAAAATTCTTGAGCAGGCACTAAAATTCTGCTTTGTTTCATCATGGTATAATGAGGATCCTGATTTTTCAAAGGTTATGCCAATGACCCAAAAGCTCTGGCTGGTCCTGCCAACCTGGAAGGACTTTGAGGGGGGGGCTCATACCTAAGAAGAATTAATCTGGCAAAGACTATATTATGTGAAAAAAGGACTTTTAATGGTTTGCTTTCATTTCTCCTGAGAAAGTCTGAGGACTCTCCGAAATACAAATCAGTGGAAAAAAGAAGTTGAATAAAGGTTAAAAAAGAATCCACAGGGCATGAAAATTCTGCTTCATATTTCACTGAAAAAATTGAGGCCATTTGCTGAGAGCTCTCTTTTTTTCCCCCATCCTCTTCTTACATTACTCAGGGGTCTTCCCACATTATCTCCTCTTTCATGCCTGTGAAAAGTCATACGACACCTCTACACACACACACACACACACACACACACACACACACACACACACACACACACACAC